AACTGCAGTATGACACCCTAACACTGATACAAATTGGAAACTGCAGTATGGCAATCCTAACACTGATACAAATTGGAGACTGCAGTATGACACCCTAACACTGATACAAATTGCAGACTGCAGTATGACACCCCTAACACTGATACAAATTGGAAACTGCAGTATGACACCCTAACACTGATACAAATTGCAGACTGCAGTATGACACCCCTAACACTGATACAAATTGGAAACTGCAGTATGACACCCTAACACTGATACAAATTGGAAACTGCAGTATGGCAATCCTAACACTGATACAAATTGGAGACTGCAGTATGACACCCTAACACTGATACAAATTGGAAACTGCAGTATGGCAATCCTAACACTGATACAAATTGGAAACTGCAGTATGGCAATCCTAACACTGATACAAATTGGAAACTGCAGTATGGCAATCCTAACATTGATGGAAATCAAAGACTGCAGCATGACACCTTAACATTGCATTCTGAGTGAGCTGAAGATGTTGTAAATCTTGGAATTTAATTTTGAAAACTTATTTTTTATGGTATTTCCTTGGGACAGCGGTAAGATTCCGAAGCTTGATTCCCTGTAATGGACTGAGAGTAGATAGCCAATTATGTAATTATGCACTACAAATATTTTTATGTAAATTTAAAGAAACAGGGGATGTTTCGACAGTTCATCGTTATTTGATGTTCTAGGAGTACTTAAACCAATTCTGTTCGTTAACAGGTTGATTTACACATTTTTTTTTATTTAAACATCTATGCAGCTAAAAATTTCATAACAGATTAGTCATCGAGTGCGTTTATAGAACAATGTAAAAATTAGATTAAACATAGTTAAATATTATAAGTTATTCTCATTCCAAGATGTATTCACGAAAATTGATGCACAAATCAGAAACAGACAGTATTATTAAGTAAAATGGGTTTTTATCAATAGAAACCCCCTTTTGTGTGTGTCTTTTGGTAACGTCCAAACAGTGAAATAATATGAATTTTTCTTTTGCATATAGGTAGCGTACTTTGATCAAAAATATATTATAATGTAAAAAAGGAAAGAATTTGTTTGTAATTAAGCTACACAATGGGCTATCTGTGCTCTGCCCACCACGGGTATCGAAACCCGGATTTTAGTGTTGTAATTCCGCAGACATACCGCTATGCCACTGGGGCAGAGAAAAGAAGCTCTGATGGACGTAAAAGATAACAACACGTTCTCTTCAAACATTTTTTCTTGTTAGAAGCCTT